CCCACAGTCAGGAAGCAGAGGATCAGTGTGGCTGCTCAGCTTGCTCTCTTGTCTTCCTTCAGTGTTTTAGTGACTTTTCCATTGCTGTGCAGACACTGTGACCCAGGCAACTTATAGAAGAAAGAGTTCATTGGCCTTACAGTTTCAGAGGGTGAGTCCATGACCACTATGGTAGGAAGCATGGAAGCCAGTAGGCAGACATGGCAGCAGCTGAGAGCTTACATGTTAAGACAACCACCACGGGGCAGAGAGTGAGTGAACCGGGAATGGCACGGTGTTTTGAAACCTTCAAGCTCACCCTGCAGTGACATGCCTCTTCTGACAAGGGCATGCTTCCTAATCCTTCCCAAACAGTTCTACCAACTGGGGATCAACTATTCAGATGGAGTCTATGGGGGCCATTCTCCTTCAAACCACCACATTTAGTCTAGTACTTAGAATCAGTTTTCCACATCACTTAATCTAGAAAATCCTTCAGGCAATGCCCCATGGTGATTCCAGAACCCAGGGAGGTGGGCATCATTAACCATCACTCTGGGCACAAATAATCACTGGAGAGGCTGTAACCTCCAACAAATAAGCTGCCACTGCATTTCAGCAGACTAAAAAGAAAGAACATAACCTCATGTAGGTGTTTAAACTGGTTTGGGAAGATAATGCCCATTAAAATCTACATGCACATAAATGCAGAGGTAGCACTGATCCCATAATTGTGGAAGAGCAGATAAACTCTCATACCATGTGGTGATGTGCTGTGGATATCGCTCTATATAAATAAAGCACTGATTGGCCAGTGACCAGGCAGGAAGTATAGGCGGGACAAGGAGAGAGGAGAATTGAGGAAGGAGGAAGTAAAGAGAGACCTGCTGGAGCCACCGCCAAGGCAAGGAAGATGTAAAGTACCGGTAAGCCACGAGCCACGTGGCAAAGTATAGATTAATAGAAATGGGCTGAATATAAGAGTGAGAGCTAGACAATGATAGGCCTGAGCTAATGGCCAAGCAGTTTAAATAATGTAAGAGTCTGTGTGTTTATTTTATAAATGGGCTCCGGGACTGGCGGGACTTGGCGATGGGAGCTGGAGAAAAATTCTCCAGCTACAGTGATGCTACAGAGCATATGATAGAGCTATGCTTACTCTATAAACAGGATGGAAAGTTCTCTGTGTTTTGGCAACATATCTAGAAAGTGTTGGTGACAGCCATCTTGCTTATGGACTGGTTCCAGTGTTTCATTCAGAAGCTGGAAGGGTTGGGATTAGATGTCTATTATTGATGGACAATGCACCTGTCAACCTGAGTGTATTTGTTATAGAAGAGTGGGGTGATTTTTTAAAAAATGTGTTTTATTAGCATATATTAATTTTATGTTTTTTTTTTTTTGGTTTTTTTTTTTTTTTTTGGTTTTTCGAGACAGGGTTTCTCTGTGTAGCTTTGCGCCTTTCCTGGATCTCGCACTGTAGACCAGGCTGGCCTCGAACTCACAGAGATCCGCCTGGCTCTGCCTCCCGAGTGCTGGGATTAAAGGCGTGCGCCACCACCGCCCGGCTCTAATTTTATGTTTTGATCATGTACAAGTCATAGTCATTTCCCATTACCCTCTTGTGTCTCCCCATTGCTGCTGATCCTTTTTCTTCCCAGCTAGTAGCACCTACTAGTAGCACTCCTACTTTCATGGGTTTTTGTTGTTGTTGTTTGTATGTATGTGCATGTGTGATCCAAGTGAGTTTCAGTAGGTTTACCTACAGGAGTATGTGTACGGAGCTACTTACACATGTACAGACAACTTAGCAGCAGCTACACAGCTGAAGAAAATGTCTCTTTCCCCAGCATCCATTACCTACTATAGATCCTCAAGGAGAGCAGGGACTCATGGGCCCCTCTCAGCTCATAATGGAATGCTGATAGGCTGGGTCTTATGCAGGTTATCACAACTGCTGGGAGTCCAAGAGTGCAATGGCCATGTCATGCCTAGAAGACAGTATTCTACCACACTCCACTCCTTACTCTAGGTCCCAAGTTCTTTCTACTCCCTTTCTGGATGTTCCCTCAGCCTTGGAAGGAGTGATGCAGACATCCTTTATAGGGCTGAGCGTTCAACTGTGATGTTTTCTTAGTACTTGATCAGGTATGGGTCTCTGAATTCACAGCTTGTTATGGTTTGAGCGTGCAATGTCCCTCATAGGCTCATGTGTTTGGGTACTTGGTCCTAGCTGGAGGTGCTATTTGGAAAGGTTGTGTTCAGAACCTTTAGAAGTTGGAAACTTGCTGGAGGGAGTATGTCACCGGGAGTGGGATTTCAGGTTTTATAGCCTGGCCTTGCTTACTGTTCTGATTCCACACTGCTGATGCACTGTGACTGGGCTGAATACATACTCCTATCACTGGCCTTGCTTACTGTTCTGATTCCACACTGCTGATGCATTGTGACTGGGCTGGCTACATGCTCCTATCATGCCTTCCCTGCTGTTATGGACAGCATTGTTACTTCTAGAACTATGAGCCGAACAACCCTTTTGCCTTTAAGTTGCTTTTGTTAGGGTATTTTATCACACCAGTAGGCATGAAACTAAAGTCAACTGCCTACTAAAAAAAAAAAAAAGGCTTTTTCTGGCCCAAACTGCCAACAGCACTAATCAATCTCTTGGAGTGAGTTTTTGGCACACCTTCATGGAGCTGAACTGTGTAATTCTCAGCTCCCTCTTGGTGCTCTCTTAACTTGGCTCAGGTTGGCTGGCTGGGTTCTGTGTTTAGGAGGGAACAAGTAGAGGTTGTAGTTATACTTCCCAAATGCCACCCCATTGCTTCAGAAACCTGATCAAGGCCACATACACCCACCTAGTATTTGGTCACTTTAGATGAACATTTGATGCAGACTCCAGACATAATGCAGTGCTGAATAAGGTCGACTACTGCTGATGCATACCATTCATCAAAGCTTTTTCTAAAGGGAGAACAGAAACCAGCAACTGTAAATGTCTGCTAGGAAGACTTAGGGAGTGAATGATTTTTAAGGGCTTCCTGGGATTCAATGGAAGTTAGAAAAATCATTCCTATAGGATAAGTCGTGGGGAAGGATTTGCCCACATGATGGATGAAGAGGAAGAGAGGACATAGTGAAGGCCATCAAGAGCCAGCAAGTGAGGAATTGGAAGAATTTGTGCATCTCCAGAGGAAGAGGAGAAAGGAGAATATGAAGCAGAATCAGCAATGTGAACACCACTGAAAATTTCCTAAGTGTTTTGAATTGCCTAGACATTAAAGGAAGGAATAATGGAACATGATCAGTGGGTGGAATGCAGCACTGGTTACCTGCATGATCACAGAGGCATTACAGACACTGAAGTGACATTTTCCAAGTTAAGAGAAAGCTGCTTCCCTAGTGTTCTTCCAAAGCATTTGGCAAAACGTCCTCTATTAAGGACCCTCAACCATTATCTGCTGCTAATATGTGTAACCATTGACATCATGGCTCCATGGTCCAGGATCACTGAAAGCAGAGGCCTGCCTTCTGACACACTGTCACAAAGCCAATGGCAGCCTAATGCTCTGTCGAGGTGTTACTTCACCCATTTCACTGTATATTATACCATTTCATGTCATTGCAACACATTCTCATACTTACTCATTAGAGTGCGCTGTTAATCTCAGAGGTCAATTTATCACTGTGGTTTGAATGGCGAGAGGTCCGCCATGGGCTCGTGTGCTTGATCACATCCTCAGCCAGTGGAGGTTGTAGAACCTTTAGGAGGTGGGCTTGCTGTAGGAAGTGAGTCACGAGGGGTGGACTTTGAGAATATAGCCCACACTCACTCCTGTGTGTATGGGCAATGTGACCAGCCAGTCTCCTGCCATCATGCCTTCTCAGCCATGAGACTGGGCCCCTCTTGAACTGTAAGACAAAACTGTAAGCCAAAACAAACTGTTTTGTCTGTTGTTTTTGTCCAGGTATTTTATTACAGCAACAAGAAATTAAGACTTTTATGAGTTAAATTTTTATCATAAACACAAAAAGAGAAAAAATAGTCTCTATATTACACTGTCCAATACTACCTACAGTTTCTGTGTCTATGAAGGGGGCTCTTGCAGCTGACAGGCATATTAGAAGACAGAGAATTTGGTAACCCCTTCAAGGGCACGCCATCAGCAACCAAACTTCCTTTGACTAGGTTCAGTCTCCTCAAGGCTCCACCACCTGCAGTAAGTGTCCCAGGCTAGAGACCAAGCCTTCAGCATGTGGGCCTTTTCAGGAATTAGGTTCCAACTAATTTTAGTGTTGAACTACAATGGACTGTCTCATGAGTTTATCCTCAAGTCTTTGAACGTGCATGACTTCTTTTTCCCATTTTCAAATTGGGTCATCTTACTGTTATATTTTCTTTCTTCACTATACATGGTATCTTCGTCAGGCACATGCTCTGCAAACATCTAGCTTGTTCTGGACTTTTTCATTTCTGAGACAGAATCTTTGGAAAAGTATGGGTGTTATTTTCGTGAGGTCAAATTTACTTTTCTTTTGTAGTTTGTACTTTTAATCAGTTTAGTTTATACTAATCTCTCTGAGCAATGTTTTAGCTGCCAGCATAGTTTGTATACTGTATATATACATATGCATACATACATACTCAGTTTGTCAAATTTATTGCTAAGTATTTCATAATTTTTTATGCTATTATAAATGGTACTTTTTTTTTTCTTTTGGAGACAGGATTTCATTGAATCCAGGCTGGCCTCAAACTTGCTCTATAGTAGAGGATGACCTTAAACTTTTGATTCTCCTGCCTCCACTTCCTATGCATTGGGATTTAAGGCTGTTTTCATTTGGTTCCAGAAGTTCTGTGCATGCCAGGCAAGCACTCTACCAACCGAGCTATGTCTCCAGTGGAATGTGCTTAGCTCTCTCTAGTTCCTGTAGCAGCTATGTAGACCCCTGAGGGTTGTTTTTGTATGTCCCGCCTACCATGTCATTTGTGAACATTGTCCTTTCTTTATACTCTGTAGGTGTTCCGATTATTGTTCACTACTGTGGTGTTATCTCCAGGACACTGGAAAATGAAGCAAGCAGAAATCCATGTTTTTCCCTTTAGGGAGGAAACTTTAAGCACACCAACTGCAGGTCTGTTGTTTTTAATGGCCTTTATTCTTCTGTTCTGTCTGTAGAAACTATATGGGAATGGATACTCAATTCTCTCGTAGCTGCTTTTATTCCATGTCGAGATATTTTCCCCTGTAGTCTGATGACATAAAGACTTACGTAGCTTTTCAAATATTAAATTAATCCTGTATTCCAGGCATACATTCCACTTGGTTACAAGCCATTGCTTTTTGATCTGTTGTTGAGCTTGATTTGCTAATTTGCAACTTTTCCATCATGGTTTAGAAAGGATGACTCCTTAGTTCTCTCTCCTCACATTCTGCCTCCACCCATTTTTCCCCTCCCACTTGGGGAACAGGTTGTGCTCTCTGAAGAGGGACAATTTCCCCTGCATTCCAGTATTTCAGAACAGCTTGTGCAGAATTGGTACTGTTTCTTCCAGAAGTGCTTGATAGAACTTATCACTAAATCCATCTGGACCCAATGGCTTATTTGTGGAAAGCTTTAAACTAAATTTCACTTTCACAATTAGATATAAGGCAAAGTTATTAGACAAAGGTTTTGTGTGAGCTTGGATAATGTTATGGATTAAATATTTGTGAAACCCCCGCCCCAAATACATTCCTGTTGAAGTCCTAATCAGCAAGAAGTGTTAATGAACATGGGGCTGCCAAGCACGCAATTAAAGTTAAGTGAGGTCGGAAGAATGGGCCTGGATGCTATGGGACGAGTGACACAGCGGAGAGCTCACCTCCACTGCCTCAGGAGGAAATCCTACCTGCAACCAATGAGAGCCCACACTAGAAATCATGACCTTGGACTTGCAGCTCCTAGGATACTGAGACAATGGGTTTCTATAGTTGAAGTCACTCTCTTGTCTGTTATGGCAACCCAGCACAGGTAAGGTTTGTTCAAGAAAAAGACATTTTTAATTATTTTGGCATGAACTGTTCATATTTCCTTATAATCCATTAGATGACTGTCAGATACAATGAATCATCTTCATTGCAGATATTTCTAACTGTCTTAAGTACTTTTTAGTCTAGCTACAGATTTATCAGTCAGTATTATTGGTATCATTAAATAACTACCCCTTGGATTCTCTAATTTTGTTTACACTGGATTGGTTTCTGTCATTTAGAAAAAATAATTTCCTTTCTGAATTCACTTCCGTTTCAAGGTAGAGGCTTAAGTCACTGAACTGTTTAAAACTTTTTAATGTAATAAATTGTATTTTGATCTGTGAGTTCAATACATCCAACAGATGAATGGAGACCCCTGGTTTTGTTTGGCTCCAACCTCTCCATGGCCGCCCTGTTTACTCCTGTGAGGTTGAGGAGCCACAGCACTTACTGTTCGCAGCCCATCTCTGTTGTAGCATTAGTCTTACTGTTTGTTACTCCCTATGAGAACACCATCAGTCAGTATTTCATCTAGTGGAGTTGTTAAAGGTAAATCTGCGTTCTTTCATTTCATCACAGACAGTGCTCAGAACCACTGTTTTCTGGCACATGTTTTCTAAGTATATGCTCTGGGTTGAAGATGGTCTGACTGTCCAAAGGTTCATGTGATAAAAGTTTGGTTCCTAGGATGGTAGTGAGGAGAAGGTGTGACTTAGGAGGCAGGGCCTGTTAGGAGGTCCTTAGGTTGCCAAGGGCTCTTATAGATTAAGGTAACTTTCAAGCCAAGCTCAGCCCCATCAACTGCCTGGCACCATGTCTCCAGATACAATCTCTTCCTCTGCACACACTCCTGCTGTTGTGAGTTGACCTTAAGACAACACAGATATTGAAAACAGTGCTAATAAAGACAACTGATCATACGCTTCAGGTACATAATACAAATTTAATAGTATAAAATAAAAATATAAAAATCAACTATTTAGTTTTGAATGTTAGAAATAATATACATAATAAAGTCAATACAGTACTAATAGTGCAGCAAGGTAAGAGTCCACGTTTCAGATGACAGGCTGACTGGTAGAGAAGCACACATTTCTGCTATTATTATTAAGAGCATTCAGACTGTAGACAATGAAGCCATGTATATGTGGCATATTCTGAAACTATAACTGTTTCTCTATATAGTTTCACATAACTGAAACTATGTGACCATCATTGTAATGACCTGGTTAAATCCTCATACTGAAAATAAGAGGCAAACATTTCCCAATAGTAGTTACCAAATTGTCAGGGTGCCAAATGAAAAAAGTTCCTTTCTCCTTTTTTACACAGGCGACACCGAGGCACATATATGAGAGGGGTTAGAAACCAAACGGCAATTTTATGCCATATGCTAGGTCCACGTTTAAATTTATAGCCTGATTTTTAGATACACTACTTCTGATCTATGAAAAGAAACAGAAGAAATTAAGGAACTTTTAAGTATCAGAAAATATAACTTGGCTATTCCTTCATAATCAAATCTTTCAATGACTTTTAGGATTGTTTCCACCGACCTAGCTCAGGAGATTTAGTGGTTGAAAAATGACTTGAGAATACAAACTTCAAGGCTAAAATTTCATCTTCCAAATGTAGAGATTTGCATAGAGCCCTTGACAAGGATTATTTAATGCAGAACTACTAGCCAGGATGAAAAATCCTAGACAGAAAAAAAAGTCATGCTGAAATTTAAATGAAACTCCAAAGGCAGGCCTTTTATGATATAGGCAACCTCTTCCACAGAACGATGGTTGCTAAAATAGTTCCTTATTTCGTGGTAAATTTCAACACTGCTAATTCCAGTTCTGAGTCAATGCTTTGGTGAGATGATTTAAAGACATATACATTCTATCGAAGTTGGCTAAAGAATCCAAAAAACAAAATAAAGTCGATAAAATATAAGAAAAAAAACCACACTTCTCAGTTTTTCGTGCAATAAGCATGCCCATCTTAAATCTGGTATTTCTCATAAATAATCTCTACTTCCCAGGAAGCTTGTATTATGAGTCAAGTTCAAATGTTTTCATATAGTTGAATATAAAGAATGTCCTGAGGATTATTCATCATTGTCTGTAGAAAAGAGAAAAAAATCAATTCACTTCATTTTAATTCAAGCAGTATCTAGTTTTTTTTAAACATTTTCCTCTCTAAAGGAGATTAGTTCAGTTTTGAATGTAATTTTATTATAATAGTGCAAATTCATTGTACAACATCCAGGCAGGGTTACAAAGAATGAAGGTAGAAGTAACAATTTGATATCAAAGACAACTGGTGTTACAATTAATTATGTATAAATCCTCAGATCGCCTTCTGAGGCACAAATAACTCGATGAGAATTAGACCAAGGCGCAGACTTGAGACTCGAGTTCTCAACGTAAGACACAAATGGGCAGATGGACAGAGAAGCACCAGTGGTTGAAAAAGCAAGATCATAAACGCTCACAGGAGAGTCTCTGTGGTGGGTATGCCAGCATCTCTCTAAAGTTTTCAACTTTTCTACATGGAGAAAACCTCACAGTAAAATACTATACAGCACACGATGTATGTATTCCATGTGAGCGTCAATGTCTGCACACCATCCCATTTTATGAGCATGGCATCATGAAATGAACCATTCTTACATAACCCACAAGAATGTTTATTCTTAACAAGCACTGCTGAGTGAGTCAAGCACACTGATTGCCAGCACTGCCAGACAGCACTCGTTTACACCCAGTGAATCCCGCCATCGTGTCAAACACCGCACGGTCACACCCACTTTCTACGACTCCCTCACTGCTCAGTATGTCTGTAATGCTTTGCACGATCAGCAGATGTGAAGATATCTAACCTCTCCCAGTGTTAGTCACCGACCTTCACTCACTCCCCTACTGCAGTGTTCTGCACCCTTCCCTACAGGAGTGTGCAAACTGAGTCCTGACAAACTGCTGTTGATTGAAAACCTGGCTTTGATGTCTTCTCCTTTAGGACCCACCCTAACCCTGCCACTCATCAGGACTTCATGCAACTCAAGTGTATTTTCACTCTTTCCAATGTCACACACTGCACTCTACTATAATTTACTCACATTTACAGCTATAAATTGCTTCAGATAATCGGGAAAGCAATGAACACACCTAGCATTAGCAGAGTTAACTTTTGGCCCTACTGATTTTGATATTAAACAAAAGCATATTACAGGCTGTACACTTTCCCACTTTCTATGGCCTTCTTTTCTAGGGACATGTTTCAGCATACCCAAATTAATGTATATTCTTCTTGCTTATACTTTTTAACATGTTTAATAACAGTGAAAAAGTAAATAAGATTATTTTAGATGTGATATAAATGGCATCACATATGATTTATTTAACTTAGGTTTGTGGGCATATGCATATTCAAAGCTGAAGATTTGCTTCATTCATTTGAATAGCTGTATAGAATTCCCTTCCATAAACACAGTCTAACATTCCATGGAGAACGGATGTGAAGGGAAGGTATATTGAAGAAATCACATGCTTGGTCTGCTGATGCTAACGGGAGGACCTGGTAATCTGCCAGGCTACCATTGGCCACATTCACTCAACTCTCCTTGGGAAGGAACTCCTAGAAACAGTTCTAAGTAACTTAGAAAATTACTACCTCTCCTTCACCTCTGACTCTGGAAAGCAGTTTCACATGGGTTAGCGTTAATTTTACCAAGAGTGATAGTTACTAACGCTCACAAAAGCTGCACTATAACACTATCAGGGGAGCTGAATGGTCAAGTCAGTTTTGAGGATGACAATTTCCAGGGAAATTAAACAGAAATGAGATTAGTTGATCATTTTAAAAAGTGAAAATCTTGTTTGCGGTGTGGGTATACACGTGTGAGCAGGCAGGTGTGCAGGTACACTATCTATGTGGGCATAAGCACAGACTACCAGCTGATGTTGGGGTGTTTTCCTCAATCTCTTCACCTCATTTTTTGAGACAGTCTTTCAAAGAGAATCTTTTTAATATGTCCCTTACTGGTTTCTCATCATTTTGAATGAGCTAGATCAAATTTTGCCCTAGAGAATAAAAGTGTGTAAGCCCCATGTATATGACATGATTTTATTATCTCCTAGATATCTAAAACACAACTATATATAAGACAGCTTGCTTTGAGATCCATTTGCTCCATACAAGAAGGGATCCCATTATTCTAAACCCAATCACTGTATAGCACTTAACCATCTAATGTTTAACATAGCATGTTAGCTTTTACTCAGATAATGTATTTTACATGTATTTATTCAGGGGCTGTATTAGTAAGTTAAAATATGCTATAGGACACACTAAGAAGTTCGTAAAGGTGGCTAGGGTGTTCTATCTTGTCTTTTGCTCTTTGTAAAGGCAGGCACTTGGCTTTAAAGCTGCTTTACATTTTCTCTCCAGGCTGGCTCTGGGATAGTGAACTCTGTGGTTTCAAATGTTTCCACCACACACTATAGCAAAACTGATCGTGTTCCTTGAGGGCTATGCGGCCCAGCCTAGCTTTTGGTCCTTGTAGGTAAATGGGCTTCTATGAAGCAGGCACCCCTCAGAAACCACCCAGCTGTGCCAATTCTACCTGTGGCTCAGTTGATTGTTACAGCTCTCCACTGAAGGGGCAAAGCAAAATAAAAGCTTTTCAGACACTTGTCAAGGAACACTACAGCCTGAGCATACTGCTGCCGACTCCTGTGAAAAGCTCCATTGAAACAAGACTTGTGGAGAGCTTCCTGAAGGACCAGTCTGAATGAGAAGAGAACTGGCTAGATCTTGCCACAGATTCACTGAAATAGGATCATTCTCTGGCCTTGTGCCGTTAGCTTACACAATGATATGAAAAATAACCAAGGAAATACAAATGCTGTAAAATGTACAGACTATTTCTCATTTCAGTAAAGTACAGCTGGAGTGCAAGATCTCCAGGGAATTGGGAACCTGTAAGTTCCAGACAGTGGTTAAATTAGAGACTCTCATCTTAATGATCAAGTCATCCTTTATCATTTTAGAAAATAAAACACCTATTCTACAGTAATACATTTGAAGGATATTTTCAAAGTCTTAGCACTTCAGACTGTACTGAGATCTATAGACCTTTGGATTCTGTTGTGCCGGGGAGAAATAAACCTTTCCTCCCCTAAAGAAACCAGTATTAAACTGAATTGTAAGGAACTATATGATAGCTATCCAGGCATGGTGGTCAAGGAAAAGGCAAGAGGGTGCAGGGTGCATGTGTTAGAGGCTCTCCTAGAGTACACAGCAGGGCCTTGTCTCAAACAAGAACTAAATCAAGACACAGACCACTGAGAACGGTCTCCACACCACAGACTGCTGCCCTCTAAAGAGCTAAGTGTGCTCTGCCCTGTGGACTCTGACACTACTGGTCAGGGTCCTGCTTCACTGTAAGTTTTTCCAGTGTCCAGAATGGAGACCTTCTGAACATTATCATACTTTTACTGCATCTCTTGTTTTGTGCTTGTTTGTCTAATATGCTGCTTTCTCAAATATTTTTAAAACTGATTTTTATTTTGTACCTGGATATATTTTTTAAAAATTATCTTAATTACTTTTAACAAGAGGGAATATAAATAGATTTTAAGAAAAATTACATTGTTAAAATTAAACATCAACATTTCAAATCCTCAATTTTTGTCTATGAATTAAGTCTTTAAATATATTCGTTTTGGCAACCATGTTAGAAGTAAATTCATGTTCAGAATTTTACATTTTCTTCCTCTGTAAAGAAGTTTAATGGTATGTCATCAATGAGAATTATTTTAATTTCTAGAGCTGTTGAGTTTTCAATTAGGAGCCTTAAAAATTTTTATTTAAGGGCTGGAGAGATGGCTCAGTGGATAAGAACACTGGTTGCTATTGCAGAAGCCTCAGGTTCAATTCCCAGCACTAACATGGTGGCTCACAACCATGTGTAATGCCAGTTCCAGGGGATTGATACCCTCATCTGGCTTTTGTGAGCAATGTACATAAAAGGTGCACATGCACACATGCAGGCAAAATACTCACACACACCCAATAAACCAACAAACAAACAAATAAGGTGTTAGAAATTCATTCAAATGTTATGTACAAACTAAGAACAGTGTCTTAAAGAACTTAAGGACACAAAATGCTGTGACAGGGCAGAGTACATTGTATAGCTGCTTCAAAGTATGACACACAGATCACTTCAAAGCCCATGTGATGGGAGTGCCTTATCTTACATCTGTCACCTTGGTTTTTTTCTCACCTATGTTTAAAATATGAAGACACGAGAAAACTTTACCTTCCTGATAGGCTCCATCTGCCATGACTAAATGCAGAATCTTGGCATAGAGATGCTGATGCTCATTGCCCAAAATATTCTCAACTATTGTTGAACAAATTTCAATATTTTCATCTTCATCCTCATGAATAGCCTATGGCAAATTACCAAATGCAAGTTAATATGGGAACTGCTAAAGAAGAGAGGCAACCAGTAACAGCCTAGGAACCACAACAACGGCAGCCCGGCAAGCTCTCCCTCAGGGTACAACGGTGGCATTACGTCTGGGTGGGAACCAAGCGCTCACTAATTAGACTCAAGGCCTTCAGTGTGGGAGGGGGAATCCTGCCGGGTACTGTAAGCCTAGCCACTCTAAGCAGCTGGTGAGGTCAGGGAATTTAGGAGAAAACCCACTACTGCTATTTTCCTAAACCAGCACGATTCCTAACTACATCTAAACACTTACCATCACACCCACAGTAGACTGCAGGTCTCACCCCTCAACAAAGAGTTTATCTTTACACTAGCATGAGATCACTGCAGAAGGCTAAAACCAGTTGACGTGCTGAGAACAAATCATCATGGGAAGCCTGGCCCCACATGATACATCTGTGTATTCCTTTATATGTATATATACTAGCAATGGTTAAAGAAGAGGCCGTGAATTTGGGAGGGGTAGGAGGGAAGACAGGAAGAAATGATACAATTAAAGTTACGCACCTTTACTTTCTCATAAACCTCAAAGAACTTTTCAAAGCCCATTTCTTGCTCCAGGTGAAGTCTAAGTTCCTCCAAATGGTTAAAGAGACTGTCATATTCACATTCACTAGTGGTCTCAGCATCACTATTATCTAAAAAACCCAAAAAGATACTTTATGATTAAAAGTGACTATCATCAATGATAAGTGAATTATGGCTTCCTGTATTCGTCTCCCTTCAACACAAGCAGTCATCCCTATGGTATCTGCCCACCAAAACATATTTAAAGCTGTCCTGAGAATTGCTTCTTTTAAAGACATAAATAGTACATCATGTTACAAAGAAAGATTCCCAGAAACATCACTATTAAATGTTAGTTTGGAAACACATGGAAAAAGCATATTTCTATGGTCTGAACTGAAGCAACCAAACCTATGATACAGGAACGTAACATGAAAAGACATGCAGAACACAGATGAGCCAAGCAGCACTCTAAAACTAAGTTGCTATCTTTATCATTGGAAAAACAAGTCAGGAAACGGAGAGCAAACAGCAGAGTAAACATGCTTCGCAAGTCACTGCGGTAACTCAACAGGAAGAAGTGAAAAGCAGTTGTACACTTGTGAGAAACACACACGGTGAACACACGACAGAAGACGGAAGCACACTTCAGCTTTAAAGCTGAGACCTCCTGCCTGAACCGACTGAGCACAGAGAGAAAGAGGCCCGCAAGCCAGCACGCACCTGAGTGCCATTCCTCATTGAGGGCGCTTTCACTGCTGGGGTTGTCGTCCTCCTCCGCGGCATCTGTCCCCCTTGCCGTCTGCTCCACCTCGCTGCTTTTTAAGACCGGCTCCTCCTCCTCACTGTATTCATCGCCGGGCTGCTCTCTAAGTAGCTGCTCCATTGAGGCCTGAAGCTCTTGTAAATCTGTGTCAGTTTCTCCAAACACGCTGGAATTTAAAGAATTACACTGAACGATGCCTAAACTTTAACTCATTTTGAAATGGTGCTTCAATTCCACACATGCATATGCATTCTCTCCCACTTAAAAGTACTAACTGGAGATAAAAAGAAGTCTGAATAAGCCTATAGAGTTTTAATTAAGAAAGTGAGGATGAATACAACTGAGAAATATAGAACATGAGGGATATTCTGCAACTCATAAACTAGAAGATGATTTGCTTAAATTGGTCCTGATTTGCCAAGGAGAATCATGTACCTAATAGCATCAGTCACTGCCTAAAATTTGAAATAATGCTCTGTGTCTCTGTCCCAGTCGTAGTTGGACAATTTAAGAAGGCAAAGATGTTTACCATTTGTTTTCTAAAAATTAATTAATATTCAAATGTCTAAATGAAATTTTGAGCCAGGTGGTAGTGGCGCATGCCTTTAATCCCAGCACTCATGAGGCAAAGCCAGACGGATCTCTGTGAGTTTGAGGCCAGCCTGGTCTACAGAGCGAGATCCAGGACAGGCACCAAAACTACACAGAGAAACCCTGTCTCAAACAAAACAAAACAAAACAGAAAGAAAGAAAAAAAGAAATTTTGAAAAACATGTAATTTTGAAAAGAAAGTTCATCCCAATCTTCATGTGGATACTAGCTGTGTACTATATGCAAAATTTTCCTTGTGAATGTATTTGAACTTGTAGAGACAAGTAGTCAAGGTCTTACATAGTATCTGTATTTTGGTTTAGGCTAATATGATGATGATACAGTGAATATAATAGTCACCAGAAACATCTTTTGTGCATATTCTTGAAAACATTTCTAAAATATGTAAGTAGATTTTTCCCAAGAATAAGTCAACTACTATAATCCTAACAGGAGAATCCTGTTTTCAAAGCACTGAGCAGCATATAAATTCTATTTTTGAGATTTAAAATGTGGAAAAAAAGAGTCTATACAGTAAGACCTTATATTTATATAGCACATGAGTTTACAAAGCAGTTTCATCCTATTTTTAAATTCATGTTAGAGACATCAAAACTGTAAATCAGAGTCTGACATAGCTCCAGGCCTTATCAATGAACAGCAAACAGGACTAACCTCTGTCCTTGAGCATTATACAGTAACTGAGACGCATACTCAAGGCTGGTCTCTGAGGACATCCTGCAGACTAAGAGTTCTGTGAGAGTCTGGATGTGTGAAGACATTTGCTGAGGGATGTTCCTAGGCAGAGGGTTTCATCCACTAGAAATGCAGCTTAAGTTAGGTACAGAGCTGAGGATGACCTCTCCAAAAGTTTACACTCAACTCTCAAATACAAATACTAAGTGAGGTCTTGAAGACAATTTATATTAGTGGAAAAAGGAAATAATCATTTACACAGAAATACTTTTCTTTTGTACTTAGGTATACTAACTCGAGATTGGACTTTGTGGAAGCTACAGAAAAGGACCTGGTCAGAACAAGAGACAGTCTTTTGACTTGGTGTCTAATGAGAAGTCTAACTCATGTAACCTTTGATGCAATGACCATCTGATGATGATACTGACCTGCTGGTAACTTACTTGTTAGCTTGAGTAAATAATGGCCAAGGCATATGGGAGTTAACAGTGAGGCTGGCCTGACACCGTAAGAAAAACTGAGAAGATTCAGTATTTTATTAAATCAGCACTTTAAAAAAAACTGTGTCATGTCATTTGAAATCTGACCCCGGGCTTAGTTTTCAGTTGGCTTTCCCATTATAAAATCTTGAGAAAGATATGGAACAAAAATCAGTTTTCAATGACAAACAACAGTACAGAATAGTACTTTAGGAATAATTTAGTTACAGCGGCTGGCTCACTTAAAAACTGTTCATTCTACTTCTATTCCAGGGAGACCCTCCACAAAATCCACTACCTAGCACTTCACAACCACCAGGTGCTGAATGTTGTGTTCACTAGTAAGTCTGCTAAAACAGGGGACGAAAGTGACTTCCTCCAAACCACCAGGTGTCTAGTAACAACCCATAGGTCTCTGTGAGGACTGATGAGAAGGGGCAGTTTGGAACTTGAAAAGTAACAATGTCAGATGCAGCAATCCTGACTCATGTTAAGCTCCTCTACTACTGAGCTACAGCCCTGCACCCTCGGCACTAGACTCCTACCCTGCACTTTTTCTAGCACTTCATTACAGGATACTTAGGTTGTATCACCCCCTCAAGTATGTGATACTTGTCTGAGGTGCTGGGAAGGCTAAAACTGAAGAGGTCAAGAATGATTCTTATCGGAGGCTTGGTCAACATTTCCCATAACTTTCAGAAATATCGGTACATTTCCTTTCTGAGTTCTATAATCCCCAAGAATCACAAGAAAGGAATTTTGTGAAAGCAATGAAGTTACATGCAACATACAACACATCACACACCACACACACACACACACACACACACACACACACACACACACACACACACACACAGAGTTACCCTGCCTCCCACTCCTACATATATCACACAAATAAAATAACCAGTTTAGTGCTGTGGATATCGTTCTGTATAAATAAAACACTGATTGGCCAGTGGCCAGGCAGGAAGTATAGGCGGGACAAGGAGAGAGGAGAACTCTGGGAAGTGGAAGGCTGAGTGGGAGAGACACTGCCAGCTGCAGCCATGACAAGCAGCATGTAAAGACGCCGGTAAGCCATGAGCCACGTGGCAAGGTATAGATTTATAGAAATGGATTAATTTAAGATGTAAGAACTAGATAGCTAGAAGCCTGAGCCATTAGGCCAAACAGTTTAAATAATATAAGAGTCTGTGTGTTTTATAAGTGGGTTGTCGGACGGGTAGGGTTTGGCAGGACCCGGAGAGCAAACTCTCCAGCTACAGTCTAGAACTGTGGTTGGTATGTAACATGAAAACAAAATTTTTAAATAAAAAAAGAAAAAAGAAAAAACAAACAAACCAGTCTACCTCACCACTGATATGTCCTAAAATCAAACATGTCAGAAGACAGATAGGAAACTTTCAGGTATTTAATACTTCCCAATTTCCCATTGCAATTCTAGTATAATGGAGATTGCACTATTCAACAATCCTTATACTGTGAAAATTAACTATTTAATCACCATTTAGTAACTTTTTACTATAGTCACATCTGACTACTAGATAGATGTCAATGGGAAAAAAGGCAGTGAACACAAATAGAAACAATTTTTGTAAGCATCCAATGAGATAGTAATTATTTAGAGGCAGACATACATTATCAAGAGGCTGACTATATTTAACCAAGTTATAAGAAGTTGAAGGTTGATGAAAAGCCAGCTGTAGGCCATGATCTCTGGACATCACAGTGATACTCGCATTTGTTAATGGTTATACTCACGTGTCCTCAGAATCAGAGGGCCCTTCTTTACTGCGCTCATCTTCAAGCTCATCTATTTCAAGACTGTCTTGATGAACATCTCCTACAGTGGGAACATCCATCAGAGTTCTGAACAGCTTGGACAGATCTGGAAGTGAACATGTCCTCAGCATCTGCAGACAGGTTGACAGACAGATTAACAGACTGCTTATTAGGAGGAAGAGAATTAAAAGCAAAAGGACAACAATCTGAGCTACTACTAATTACAATATTTAAATTATGTATGTAGATTGAAAGGATTCAAATTGCCTGAGGTTAGAACCTAATTTCCTTTCTCTCTTTCTTCTTTCTTTCCTTCTTTCTTTCCTTCTTCCTTCCTTCCTTCCTTCCTTCCTTCCTTCCTTCCTTCCTTCCTTCCTTCTTCTTTTAATGAGAGAGTTTCTCTGTGTAGCTTTGCACCTTTCCTGGAACTCACTCTGTAGCCCAGGCTGGCCTTGAACTCACAGAGATCTGCCTGCCTCTACCTCCCCGAGTGCTGGGATTAAAGGCGTGCGCCACCACCGCCCAGCAGAACCCAATTTTCTTAAAATCTGGCTCACATAAGCAACCCTAAATAGACTCAAATACACAGATGTATATGTGTATACCAATAATTTTTGAAGAAGAGGTCATGAATTTGAGGATATGGTAATACAAGGAGGAGTTGGAGGGGCAGATGGAGGGATGGAAATGATGCAAACAGAGCACTCAGGTAAGAAATTCCCAAAAAATTAAATTAAAAATTCAGCTTTTTTTTTTTTTTAAAAACAAGAAAACTAAACTTGTGAGTAGTGACTGGGCTTTAGCACAGAAGTTCACGTTGGCTACCTTCTAAAGAGTGGGAGTGGTTCTTCAGAGATACCCATGGCCTGGAGTCAGGCACCAGAAATACCCATTGGTTCTTTCTCACTCATCCCGCAGTTCTCCCCCTTCCTGGGTCAACGCTGCCTGGGCAGACTTGCTGAAACTGAAGGGAACTAGACTGTGGCGAAGCCCTGTCACCTACTCCCAGGAGCTGCTGGCTAGCTCCATGGGTTAAAGCAGGGACCTTATCAGTGTAAAGATAAACCTGACTTTGCCTCCCCGAGAATGGGCTGAGTGGGGTCCTCACACTCAAAAGGAAGGCTGCAAGGACAAGCTCTGAATCATTTGTAACAACCCCGAGAAGGAACTCAGCCAACTATGCCAAGAAAACCACATACAGTGGAGGTGTTGAAAATGTAAATCAGTGTTGGACAAGAGCAGGAATAATACGAAGGGTCTCCATGCGCCAACCTTTCAACAATTAGGATGTGATGACAGTCAGGACAGGAGACAAATAACTGTACACACGTCTCTAAAGGAACCTGAGAGTGGCATCTGAGTACTAGGCCCTGAAAAGAACTCGGTGTCAGAGAGAGGGAAGGCTTTGAAGAAAACATAGTGCTTAACATATGAACACAAAGTTGCATATTTGGTCAATCTTATTAGTGTAGCTTTTTCAGAATAATAAAGGATAGATTCCTATTCTCGGAACATAGTTCACATATTACAGCAATTAAGGGAAATGATTATCAGTTACAAACTAGTGAAACTGGTAAAAATGGTAAAAAAATAAAAAATACTGCTTGCTAAAGCACTGAACAACAGCTGCAGTGCTGAGGCAGCTGAGTGACTCCCACTGCCACCAGTGCTGAGGCTGCAGGTGCACTCGCATGCAGCATTGGAATTATTAGGATTTGGGCCACATGTACAATAAGCCAGCAGTATGTAAAGTAGGCAGCTTGTAATAATCTACTCAGGTTGACTGCTAATCACCAAAAACGAATAGAATAAATTAATTACATACTTATACTTGAGAATGCCACATATTTAGGCTGAGAAAACTTTAGCTCATCCAAAAAAATACACCTCATTTTTAGTTTATTCCTTTTAATAGGTAAAACAACTCCCCGCACCCAATACTTAGCCCAGGATGTGACCCCCCTGCTTCTGCCTGCCAAGTTCTACAGTTACAGGTGTGTGCCACTATGCACATTAACTTCGATATCCATCAGGACAGTATCTCAGGTTGATACTCATTTCCTGGTGTATCTGTAGGACAAGCCTTTGTGCTCACAACACTCCTTGGTGCCTCCTCACAGACTACATGAAGCTGTTGGAACGCTGTCTGAGCTGGCTTTGACCTACGGTCCTGCCTTGCCCTCTGCAGCAGCACATGGAATTATGGTTATGTGCTGCCATTGCAACTAACTTTATGTTTTAAATGGATCGTCATCTTTATCCACAGTAAAAACATTATATCACAACATTTCTGCTCTCATTTTTCGTGCTAAGGCCGTGAGCATATTATGCCCAGATTACACCCCTGAGGTATAGCCCTAGATCCCTTCATTTCTCGGTTTTGATTCTCCTGGTTTTTCATATTGCTTAAAGTATATTTTATTGTCTTGGCACCAACTGAAAGCAATCCTGAAAATCCAGGCAATCCACAGCCTTGCTTGAGAGCTTACTTTAGGTATGGGTTCCCCTCAACTCTTCATCCCAGGGAATATGTTATAAATTCAAACAAGAGCAATGCTTCAGGGAACCTTACATTTCAGAAACAGTGTTCCTTTCCTTTTTAGTATCAATTACCTTTTTCCCCCCTCAAACTAAGGGAAACACATGAGACAGAGAAGGATTAGGTGCTGGTCCTATTAGTGACTTCACATCACGTGCTGCATCGAAGGATTCTCTTAATCTGTACAAGTCTTAATATAAAGTACGAATTAGCAATCCTCTAGTTATACTAGGAAGTCGTTCATTACAGGCACATTTTCTTCAGTCTGATTACTACCATAAATACTTCAACACTGCTCCCTCAAAACAGTTCTTACAACTAGCTGCTGCTCACTGTATTAGAAAAACCAGATAACATCTATTATTTAAGATGAATCCCCGAGTAAAAGGACTGGCATGCACTCAGGGAAAAAGCAGGTCTAACTCAGAGAGTCCTGAAACTGGGGCTCAAAGGGGTGGGTCAGGAAGCTCATGCTGCCCAATCCAAGGCGAACTCAAGGGCTGGGCGCTGCGGCAGAATCACAGTCAGACTTCCCAGCTGGCTGTACCAGAAACAGAACTGACGCTGTGCGTGTCATCTGACTGACTCTTAGGCCATCTCCCCTCTCCCCCACTTATGCCATCTTAAGGCTGAAAATTTGAAGAGTTAAGACACAGCTGTCTACCGCATTCCTTTAGTTCTCATGGAATGAATTAACCCTGCAAACGTTAGTATTTTAGAAAACTCACGGGAAGAAATACACCAATAATTTTCTTTAACAGTCATTACAAATACAAAGTTTAGGCTTTCCTCTCTAAGTACATGTTGGCGTTGCTGCACTATGAAAGCAGGTTTCCTGCCTGGGTGATCATGAGCAGGAGATCATTACACTAAAGCTTCTGGGACAATGTTGGGGACACTGTACACATGGCTGGCAAAGTTGACTATCCTATATGGACAATTGGTATTATACATTTATTAGCCATCTTTATGAAATCAAAGTAGGCTGAATTACCTCTCAAGAGATAAGTGGGGACAGTGAGTGGCTGTTTCCGAATCCTAATCTATACTTGCTTGAATTTTAGTGAATTAGAATGTTCTAGTAACAAGAGAAAATTAAGAATACTGCAGACTACTCCAAAACTATGGTCTTTCCCCACAAACTAGGCATAGGCAAGGTAGCAATTTGGTACTTCCTTCTGTTAGAGAGCAAAAAAGATACACTGCACTGTCAGTCTCCTCACACTGTAACCGGATGCTACCTACTAATGCTAGATACTTGTCTTTTAGTATTTACAACTGTATTTGACCAAGTATTCATAGTAGCAGTTAATCATAAAGGGAAGGCATCGGGACTCACGACTGACGTTCTTTGAGAGCACTGCTAGTATTTCTAATAGCAGAGGAGGAGGCATAAAGTGATTCAAACACCCCAGGAAACAGCCAGGTCAACTGTGCATGCCAAAAGTATATCTTCCTGAACTCTGTCCAGATATACTGAAGTAGTGGTGAGGCCAGACTCTATCTCTAATATTCCATAAAATCATGCTTGTGTCAAAATTTTTTTAGAATGAATACTCACTCTATTGTTAGAACACAATCAATCACTGGCAAATGACAAAACCCTTCTATAAAGAAGTTTGACTAGAAATTCCTCCACCTTCAACCATGTGACTAGTCACTTGTCCAGGCTGGAGTCTTGGTGAAATTAGTCAATTTCTATCAGAGTTATTAACTATACCACTTCCTCACTTGCTATCTAAGTTACACAGACCTTCTGTCAACCAATACACACACACACACACACACACACACACACACACACACACACACACACACACACTCTCATTCCCTTGCAGGACCACACAGAGTAACCACTGTTGTGAGCCACACTGCAAAATGGGCTGTTACAGAGACAAGGGCTTTGTTCCTCTGGTAATCCAGATTCTGTAACTTGCAAAGGGAAGATTGTGAGAAAACCACAACTTTATTTTATTTAGACTTTTTGAAATTTACTGTTGAGAATCTCCACTTACTGTTATGCCCACATTTTTTACCAAACCATTGCATTTAATTACCTTAGGAAATCTGCTTCTCTGTTTGCAGAAGAAACAGACTTGAAGCCATCACTTATTACCAAACCTAAAGGAGCCAGCCGGGTGTGGTGGTGTACACACACACTTGGCAGGCATAGACAGAGAAGTGTGGAAAGCCTGAGGCCAGGCTGGGTAGAAAATGAGACACTGCACAAAGAAACCTCCAGAAGAGAAATCTTTTCCAGAGGAAATAACAAGAAATGCATATTTTCTAGCCTCAGAAATACGGTATGGTTCATAACTCTCATTTCACCTTGGCTATGACATAGATGAATCTTTTACTTAATTAACGTTAATGACTATTGTAACAGTTGCTAATGGCTTGCTGGTGTATAATGCACAGTCTTAAACTAATTTATGTATTGGGGTATAATCTACAACTCGTCTGAAACATCGTATAAGTAAGTGTGTAAAAGGAGAACAGACTTCCGGGACTTATGCTGGTTTCAGGCCATCACTTACATCCCCACTGACGGGCAGCAGCCATGAAAGCATTACTCTCATTGCCTGTCTTACA